TTTACGTTAAGGAACACATTGCGCATAACATTAGGAATGATATGTGCGTTTCTGACGGTGATAAAGAAATCGTAACTATTGAAATTTTAAACAATAAAAAAAATAATATTCTATTAAGCTGCTGTTATAGACCACCTGAAAATCTTAGTTTCTTTTTACAGCAAAATATCATTCACAAAGGTAGAAAAGAAAACAAAATTACTTTTATAATTGGAGATTTCAACATGAACTGTTTAATTTATAATAAAGATAAAAAAATAAAAAGTTTTTATGATGAAATACTTATGGCAGGAGCTGTTCCTTTAATTAATCGCCCTACTAGAATAACCAATACTTCAACTACGTTGATTGATAATATTTTTACAACAGATATTTATAATAGAAAATTAAAAAAAGGAATTATAAAAACCGACATATCCGATCATTTCCCCATTTTTCTAACAATCCATACTGTATCCTCAAATAACCCCGAAAGACAAAATATAATAAAAAAACGTGTCTTCAATGAGAGCAATATAAAATCCTTCCAATATCAATTATCACTTCTGCATTGGAAACATATTAACTTTAATGAAGACGCAAATACAATATATAATAAATTCTTTGATACGTTCTTCTCAATATACGATGCAAACTTTCCACTTTGTGAAAAAATAACAAAAATAAAAACCTTAAATAGTCCATGGATTACCAAAGGACTTAGAAAATCCTCTAAAATCCTCTAAAACTATAGGGCACCGTATTTATGGAACAAAATTGTTGTTCCAAATTTTGATTTGTCAATTTCGTTTTCCGTTTTTAAAACTAAATTAAAAAACTATATTCTTTCTACTGGCAATATATATAAATATTTTTGAAATGTAAAATTCTTTTTTTTTACTCTGGATAATTTGTAAAATTATTTTCAGTTTTTGTTTCTTCTACATTGTTATTAGTTATTTGATCAATTGTATTTTATTTTATTATATATACACGTATTATATCTTTTATATGGTTCTGGCGACAAGATCATTTGAATCTTCTTTCAGATACCAAGTTTATATATTGTTATATTGTTATATTACGATTAATAATTGTAAACTGAAAAAAAAAAAAAAAAATATTCGCGCACTGCTGACAAACTTTTTTTGCAACCATTCTCGCAATGTTAGCTCTGACTGGCGGAAACCGCTTTAAAACTTCAGGCAAATTTTTCGTCTTTGATTAAAGAAAAGCCGCTGCAACATAGGTCTCCTGAATTTGCTTTTTGATTACTGAACACAGCTTCTTTGTTAAAACTAACAAAACTAACTAGCCCGTTTGGAAATGAAAATGTTATAAGTTGCTAATGCTCTTTACTCTCCTGAAACATTTTTTGTAAAACACATTTTAAAGATAAGAAAATGGTTCAAAAGTACAAATTAAAATCCTCTTTTAATTTGTACTTGGATTTTGATTTACTTGGAAAAAAAAGATTTACTTGAAAAAAAAAAAAAACAGCTAATATAAATGTTATACCAAATAACTGTCTTTAGTTTCATCGTTAAATAAATAAAACTATGTTGCCAAGAAATGTTTTATAACTGTAAAGTTTTTCAAAACTATTGTCAGGACCTACAAGTTTTGAAAACAATTTTTTAAAATAAAAACTTACCCTGATAGATCTGTACCCTGTAAAATGAGTTTGGAAATGCGTAAAACTTATGAAAACATTTTTTCATAGACTGAAATCAAATCATAGGGTTGATATCACAACAATCTAAGGATCAATCTTTAAAATATTTTCTAATTTATTGGTCACAATGTCAAATTATTTTTCAACAATATTATTATATGAGCATTGTTTTATGAAAATTGTTGATAACTTTAGCTCGAGACAATTTTAGAGAAACTCAAAGTAGGTTTAGTTTAGTTTATTTTTAATGTTTCTTAACATTTACTTTTTAACTTCTTTCAAAATAGAAGAAATTTTAATACTCTTCAAACGCATTTCTCCCCGTGGATTTAAATTATGCAGAAGCATCGTTTTATTCCCCCCATGGTAGGTTTAAATAATTTTAAATAATTGACTGCATGTATACAGTCAATTATTCAAAATTATTTAAACCTATACATTAACCTATACATTAAATGTATAATATATATATATATATATATATATATATATATATATATATATATATATATATATATATATATATATATATATATATATATATATATATATACATATATATATATATATATATATATATATATATATATATATATATATATATATATATACATATATATTTATATACATATATATATATATATATACATATATATATATATATATATATATATATATATATATATATATATATATATATATATATATATATATATATATATATATATATATATATATATATATATATATATGGGGGAAGTGGGGGCATAACCGCATATGGTGGCACAACTGTTTTTTATTATCTCCTTTTGAAAAATATTATCTAATATGGCAAAAAACATACCACGTGTTAGTAAAACAGTTTCCTTCATTTTGCAAATGTCAAAAAGAGTACCTGTCATGTTTCTGAGGGGTGGTGCGTAATAATGTTTATTTGATAAAAATATTAAATTTACATCATATTTTTCTAGACCTTTCTTTTGAGGATTGAGTAATATTAAACTTAAGTGTTAAAGATATGTGTTATCAGCGTTATATCTTTAAGTAAAACCCATTTTTGATATTAACATAACCTAATAAGCAAGCTATGAAACTGTATTCTATCTAAAAACAGTTCTCTATGACAGAACTGCATTGACACACTGAAGGCACAACCGTATATTTTAGATATTTATAAAAGTTAGGTAATTACGAATAACATTAATTACAGTCGTCACACTTAAATGCGTTTATGTAAAAACTTGAATAAAAATAGTTATTTTATGAGATGTTGGAAACTAGATTTTGCATTTTTTCAATCAATTTTTATGAATGAGTTTTTGATTCAAATATAAAGCTAAGAGTTTATCGAAAAAGAAAACTCAGACTGTAAATACAAAGAATGCCTACATAGTATGCAAACATGCAACAAAATCAGCAAATAATCCCAACAATTTTTTTGAGTGTGTGGTTGTGCCTCACAAGTCATGTGGGGCAAAACCGTTTTTTTTTTCATTTAGTATAATTTTTGTGTAATTATAATGTTTTTTTTTAAATGTGCATCAATTTAAAGCTTAATAGCGTGGCTATTGAAATAAACTGTTAAAAACACATCTCTTTTTTATTTTCATACAACATTTATCCAAACCTTAAGGGGGCGGTTGTGCCCCATTTTTCCTATATTAATCACCCACTGTATATAATACCAGGTAAATTATTATAAAGCTACATTTTTAAAAAGAAAGAAGATTATCTTTAAATATTTACTTCAAAAATGTCTTTGAAGATTTTCTTGGTAGTAACTTAATATCTCCGACAGATTTTGTAAATTTTTCTTTCTAGCATACATCATATTACAACATATTTTTTCAAATAAATTGCTCAAATAAAATATTTTTTCAAATAAATGGCTTCAAATAAAAAAAACATGAATTAAAATTTTGCATAAAAACGTTAATTCGCAACTGTTATCAAGGCCGGCGTGATAGGCGTGTGTGATCAATGATTTTTAGTCGGCAAACTGGACCCTTAGTCGGCAAATCGGACCCTTTTAGACTAGTTAGTCGGCAAATGTCGACCCTTTCGATATAGGTTAGACAGTCGGCAAATGTCGTAATGAAAGTCGGCAAATTTTGGAAAACGAGGACCTTTTTTTTTTTTTTTTTTTTTTAGTCGGCAAAAGTTGTAATGGCACACCCCCACGTGGCACCTACTCGCGCCGGCCCTGACTGTTATCGCAGACATTTTTGTTGGTTTTGAATTTGTTGATGGTTACTGTTCGACATAGTGACTAATTCATCTCTATATTGTGGAAAAAAAAGCTTACTCTTTTTCATTAAATAAGTCAAACAATTATTTTTTTTAATGCTGACCAAACAGCTGCTCAATAAAAAAGAAATTAATTTAAAAATGTGCTTATTTCTTAGCTGTTTTTTTTTTTTTTCCTTTTTTTTATATACTTTAATATAAATACAATCAACATGCTTCAAAAATAAATAAAATAATATGATAATAAATAAAATAATATAATAAAATAATAAATAAAATAATATAATATTTGATGTACAAAGTAGTATAATAAAGTAATATAGTATTTATGATTTATTTATTATTTTTTTTATTTTATAATTTATTTATTTTATTTGTTATTTATGTTTGTTTACCAAAATCATAAACAAAATTAGTAAAAATTATGGAGAATATTTATAAGTTTTTAAAAGTTTGTTATTGAAAACCATAAATAAAAGTAAATGTAGCAAAAATTATTTAAAAAAATTCTAAATCTTGTTTGTTTTTATTTTATTTTATGAGTTTAAATTGAATATATTTATATTTTAAACCAAACAATAAAATATAATCAAGCTTTTTATACACAAGTTATTATGAAATAATACCAGATTGAACCAAACTACAATTTTAAACTTTCATTTTTAAATAAGCGCAAATAATAGTTATAAGGTAACAAAAATCTCATGTTTTTTTAAGCGTGTCTTAAAAATGTCTGGATTAGGTGAAGTATTTTTGATTATTTTAAAACATTTATAAATATTAACTTTTATTGATACTTTTAATTCATACGACAGAAGTTTAAATTACACCAGTTAAACGAGTTAGTTAGAGTCCATAGTTAGGAACTATGCTTTTTATAAAATAAACAAAATTATAAACGAAGTACGTTTCAAACTTGAAACGAAATATGTCTAAATAGTTTTGATTAACACTTTATTTTTTGATTTGCGAAACTCATATTTTGATCATATACATTATCATAACAATAATACTCTTATTATCATATCATAACAATAATACATTTATTTTTCACATAAGCTAAACAAGGGTAAAAAAAATATTAAAATGTAATATGTACCTATATTGTATCATGCAAAATGGAGGAAAAGTATTGGCCTTTATTGAACCAAATGAGATGAAAAATTAAAACATTTATTTGTAAAAACCTTTTTCGACACTCGTGTTTATTTGATGCATACTTTATTAAAATAAAAACACGTATAAAATCAAGCAATTTGTTCCTGTTAACAAAACTTTTTTGTTAATATTTGATTGGTGTAACCAAGGACGTATAAAAAGATATTAATATTAATACTATTAATACGTCTATGATTAAACTGAGCCATGAGCAAATACAGAAAAAAATTAAATAAAAAAAAATATCTTCTGCAGATGTATTCGTGGGTGTGTTAATAATTTTAGTAACATTTTAATAACTAAGTTAGGATTAGTTTTAATAACTTTTAAAAATTAGAATGTTTTCTTTGTTTACAAATTTAATTTTAAATCTTTATGAATGTTTTGTTTTACGAGCATGTAAAAAACTTGTATAAAGTTTTTTTATGTATATATTTTAAATATATTTCTGATTTAACACAGATAAAACCATTTCACAAAACTATTACATATAAATGTTTATAAAATGTTAAGCAAAATTTCACGAGTTAGGGTTTACAATTAAAAGTTAAAAAATATATATAAAGTATAACAAATTATTTCGAAAAGTTTATCATTGCTACAATTAATTTTATTTATATTTGTTTGTGGCTAGTTTAAAAGATTTATGCAGGAATTCAACCCACAACTTTTGCCTTCCTCAATCTCTAACTCAAAAAGTCAACTTTGCAACTCGCTTTCCAAACAAACCGAATCGTTTACCTTCACTACTCAACTTATGTCTTGTTTCTGATTCTAGTCAGTGCTCAGTTCCTTTACCCTTAGGTGCCTCTTTTTGATCTCCCTAAAACTTTTAAAATCTCATTTTTCTTTTCCGCCAGAATCACTCTATCATCGTACATCTTATAAATATCTAAAAGCTGACTGGGACTCTTTCCGTGATTTTCTTCGTGCTGGCCCTTGGGTAGAAATCTTTCGTCTTCATGTTGACAAAATTGCTTCTTACATAACTTTGTAGATTCAGGCTGGCATGGAATCTTTTATTCCTTCTTGACACTTCCAGGTCAAGCCTCACTCTTTTCCATGGTTTTCCTCACATTGTGCTGCTGCAATTTCCAATCTATCAGCACAACAATTCTCCAGAAAACAGACGTCTGTTTATTACTGCTACAAACCATGTATAAAAGTTTTGACTAATGCCAAAGCCCGCTATTCTCGGGTCATGAAATTTCGTATTTCATCACAAAAATTAGGTTATCGTGACTTCTGGAGAATCTTTAATGGTATCAATAATAAGGGTAAGTTTGTAATTCCACCTCTTTTGTATGGTTCATACTTGTCTCCTCACCTAAAGACAAAGCTGAATTGTTTGCTAAGAACTTTTCATCAATATCATCTTTTAATTACACTAGATGCGTTCTTCCTGATATAGCCGTCGAACAGATTGATCCATAGCTTGGCATTTGTATCATTCCAGCTTCTTTATCTAAAGTGATTTTCAGCTCAGACTCTTCTACAGCTAGTGGCCCGGAAAACATACCTGTTATAATCTTGTAGAAGTGTTCTCTAGAGCTGTCGTCTATGCTTTCAAAACTATTCAACAAGTGCTTATCAGAGTCTTGTTTTCCAGCCTGCTGGAAAGCAGCATCTGTTATCCCTATTTTTAAAAATTCTGGAGAGCGATTCAATTCGTTGAACTACCGTCCCTTTAGTCTTCTTTCTATCATAAGCAAGATATTTGAATCTTTAATTAACAAACACTTAAACACTTAATATATATATATATATATATATATATATATATATATATATATATATATATATATATATATATATATATATATATATATATATATATATATATATACATATATATATATATATATATATATATATATATATATATATATATATATATATATATATATACATATATATATATATATATATATATATATATATATGTATATATATATATATATATATACATATATATATATATATATATATATATATATATATATATATATATATATATATATATATATATATACATATATATGTATATATATATATATATATATATATATATATATATATATATATATATATATATATATATATATATATATATATATATATATATATATATATATATTGTTGTTTTGAGAAAATCACTTTTTAAGATTTAAAACACCATCATGTAGTTCAACGAATTAAATTTACCCCAAAAATCATTTTATTATATAAAACATTTATTTCTCAATATAGCAATTCAAAGTTTTATGTGAAAATATCGGTTTATATGTTTGATATTGTTACTGTAAGAGGGGAACTGCTGTTTGGACTTTGATTGTTTTTTCCATTGCATCTCACCAATATATTCCACAGGTTAGTTACTAGAGACTTATTCTCTTAACAGGTTTTTTTGATTGATTACCAAACACATAACACATACCAAAGACAACACATAACATATACCAAAGACAACAGAATCACATAACACATACCATAGACATAACACATACTAAAGACAACAGAATTGAAACGCACTAAAATAATGCTTAACAATAATAGTATTATTACATGTGTGTCATTTTTATTGCAGGTATTAAACCAAAAAATAAAAGAAGGGAAGAGGAAAATAATAAAAACTAATATTTATGTTGCAATAACTCCATAATTATAGACTGATTGATTTAATCATCAGCATAATATAACGTGTCTGTTGAAGAACCATCTTCACAATCAGAGGGTCCAATAACTGGAAGACTGTTGCAGAATTCCTGGTTCACAAGATTGCATAGTTTTTTCAGACACTGCAAGTCCTTAAATTTTTCCCAACTGATTGGTATTGGGGCAGTATATAAACACTCAAGTGACCTTGTTTTCAAAGGGTTGATTGTTTGTTTACCTTTAAGTCTCAATGTCACAACCGCAATTTCAATGGTGCCGCTCCAGGAATCTCTAAAGCTGATGTATTGCGGATGAGAGACTTCGATGTAGATTTCTCGTAAAGGTCTTGTTATAAAGGGACATGATGTTTTGTAGCCTGGCTTTAGGAAATCTTTGAATGCCTTGAAAATATTCTGGTTGCAGGCAATCACTCTAAAGGGAGATAGCTTGACACGTGTATTTCTGAACACCTGAACCCACTGGCTGGGAAAATCCAGATTTTTTTGACTGTTTGATAAGGACCATGTCACGGTCACATTCAAGATACGAGTGACCACGGATTGGAAACCGGATTGAGATGCGCTCAAATCATTTTTTTGTGTTTACCAACCAATGCATAAATCTAAAGAGATATAATTCTTGTTTTGTCCTGCACACCCATCACAAAACAAAACAAGTCTTGTCACTACTTGCGGGAAGTATATCTCTATGAAGTGATAAAGCATGGAGCACACATCATCATCACTCTTTTTGGCAACAGTCTCATCATAAATGTAGAAGTATACAACTTCTGTAGACAGCACGTGGACATTAAAAGAGACACAGGTCAGTTGACGCTTGTAATAAATATCGTTGAAAGTTTTGTTGGGAGTGCATAAATTTTTCTGAAAATCGAAAACGACTGGCTTTGTAGAACTATCTATCCGGGCAAGCTCTTTTGTAGGAGAAGTCCCTGAATTTGACATTCTCTTCATCTTTGCGAAGTTGTCGCCTATCCACTCCTTTCACTTTTAAATACATACCATTTCACTTGTTTTCAAGAATCAAGAGCAATTAGTGTGCAATATATTTTTTACTCGGTGTTGTTATTATTTTGTAGGATGTTTACAAAACTAATGTCAGATAACTAAGATAAGGCATTCCTTTAGCTCTACAATTATTATTTTTTGTATGACAAATTATTTTTAACCTGTTATGAATTATTAATAACCGTTATATATATATATATATATATATATATATATATATATATATATATATATATATATATATATATATATATATATATATATATATATATATATATATATATATATATATAGCCAACACAGTTCAACATTTTTCGCATGGTTCGAATATAATGACTAGTTTAATACAGCATTCTAGAAAAAAGACTTACAAATGCTGAAGTCGATTTATTATGCAATGGAACTATAACCAAAGGTCATCTATTACTTATTGTTGTTCGAGATAGGTAGAAAATATATTCTTTACCTGAACAAAGAAAGCAAGGTGTGAATCTTGCGCATCTTTGCCACTAATCAAATTAAATTGAGTAGACCGACTTTTTCTTCATCAGTAATTTTTTCAAAATATTTCATCTTGCACTTGCAATCTTCCCCTTTCTCATGACTTGATATGCGTTGAAATTTTAGCTGTTCTTTATGAGCAAAGTTCTTTTTTCTTTTCTTTGGTTTGTCACTAATGATTGGGCGATCAGTGCTGCTTTTCGCCATCTTTAAAACAGACATCTAACAAAAATAGCGCTGGATTGGCTCGTACATGTCATGTGATAGAAAAAAAGCCAGCTGATAACTAGTTTGATCGTTTTGTTGCTGTAAACATTGGACTCTGATCGTTTTGCCAACGTTTGGTGTTTTTAAAAATTCCAATAACTTAAGACTCCAATTGTTTTTTAATTAGTCACTTCAGGCAGACAAAGTATGAGCCCAGGGCTTCAATAAAAGGGCTATAACTCAAAAAAATCAAATTTGTGATTTTGATTGTTTTTCCGTTGAGGCCTTCATATATATATATATATATATATATATATATATATATATATATATATATATATATATATATATATATATATATATATATATATATATATATATATATATATATATATATATATATATATATATATATATATATATATATATATATAAAATATGTTCACTTCTTAACGCATTTTTTTCGTTTCATTCTATTAATTTATTTTTTAGAATGAATCTTTGACTTGCTGTTAAATCGCAATTTATATACACATTTTCATATTTTTTGATTTTTCTTAATTTAATTGATGCTTTAAGAATCATATTTTTGTTATTAACGTCTTCAAGCTCTATAAGCAAAGGATCGATGCTTCCTTCAGATTTAAGACGGCGAACAGATCTCACTTTTGCTCCATTGGATTTGATAGCAC